TACTCCCAGCCCCCAAGCCTGACCGGAAGTGACGCTTGCAACCACTGTCCATCTTCAGGGGAAAGATTCAATACACACTCTAGCATGGTCTTAAGGAGAAAGTCATATTTCTTGAGTTTTGGACTGCTGAAGGCTGTGGAGCATCTCAGAAAGCAGGTAAGTTTTGGGATTGACAGGCACCTGGTGAGTAGGTAGAAGGCATCATGTGTATCAATGTCTTTCATCCTGCCTTCCATCGTCCTAACCTAACATTACTTCTCCAATATACAGTGGAGCTCGTGTTTGAGTTTAATTCGTTCCTAGGTGGTCAAACTGCTAAAAGTTTGGTGTCCGAAACATTATTTCCCAGGCTTTAATTATTAGCCTCACACTGGAGGTTGTTGAACTGACTCTCCCAGTCTCTTAGAGTTAGGTCAGTGTCAGGTCACTCAAAGTACTTGAAACGGCTTTCGTGTAAAGATTTTTTTCACGTCCAGACTCCAGAAAAAAATGTTCAAATGCTGGGCTAATTTCTTCGGAACAAAATTGTTCGGACTCCGGTTTGTTCGAGGTCTGGTACGTTTGAACACTGAGGTTCCACTGTACGCATCCCTGCACTATCCACTGCCCCGCTGCATTCCATGACCTAATAATCATCCCTCTCCCTCTTGCTACCCAATACCCCAGCATCCTTTCCTGCCCGGCGGCACTTTGTAAGTTTAGCGCTTCTTTTTGATAATCCACCGTACGCATAAGGTTGGCAGCAAAGATATCCATATGTTGCTTGCACACGTTTTAGTGAGTATGAGTTTGTTAATTGTCGTCTAAGTAGATATTTTTCAAGCTCAACATTAACTGTGTTGATGAGAAAGAGTTTAATTAGTTTAATATGTTTATTATGCACCCTATACCCATCCCGTGGGAGGTAGTCAAAAGATTAGAGGTACATAAGTAAGACACGTGCAGTAGTTGGGTATATTGTTGAAACGTTTTGCCTACGCAGTAGGTTTCTTCAGTCAAATACAGAATGAACTGTAGGCAGCAGTGGTGGTGGGGTAAAGATGTAATCAGTCCAACAACATTAGAGAAATAATTTGAGGTGGTCAATCCCTCGGCTTGGAGAAGTTCAGCTCCATGGTTTTGAAGGATATGAAGCTGAAGGATGAGAATGGTCTTAAATACTGTCGAAGGAGAGGTGTGGAAGATCTCAACTGAAGATGCTGCAGGAGGCGCGATCACTAGTAGAAGCAAGAAGGCAAGAATTAAGGAATACTGCAGCAAGCCTACGGGCCCATGCTAGACATGTCCCTCCGGAATCCAACCCTTCTCACTCATAACTAGTAAAGTAAGGCCTGGCCGCGGAGGCGTTGACCCCCGAAACCCCCTTCAGCTAAACGATGAAGATGTTTCCACCTCGATACAGGTGGAAACATCTGGCTGTGTTTCCTTAAGGCACCTGCTGTCCCTGTTCACCTAGCAGTAAATAGGTACCTGAGTGTTAGTTGACTGGTGTGGGTTGCATACTGGGAATAAAATTAACCTAATTTGCCCAAAATGCTCTGCATAATAAGGGGCTTTCTGTATAGTATGTCACTTATGTCAGCTAGGACTGTATTGATAGTATCATATACTTGTAGAAGTAAAGATGATTATTATTATTTCATTAAAGAGAGAAGCTTACGACGACGTTTCGGTCCGACTTGGACCATTTACAAAGTCACACTAACCAGAAGTGGAGCAGGACGGCTCCACTTCTGGTTAGTGTGACTTTGTAAATGGTCCAAATTGGACCGAAACGTCGTCGTAAGCTTCTCTCTTTTCTGTGTGGGTTATTTGTGTATCATTCCAGTCACGGTATTGTGCCTTTTTTGTTATTTTTCATTAACACATCGGCCGATTCCCACCAAGGCAGGGTGGCCCGAAAAAGAAAAATTTTCATCATTCACCCAATCACTGTCTTTCCAGAAGGGTGCTTTACACTACAGTTATAAAACTGCAACATTAACACCCCTCCTCAGAGTGTAGACACTGTACTTCACATCTCCAGGACTCGAGTCCGGCCTGCCGGTTTCCCTGAATCCCTTCCTGAGCCTCACTATCCTCGTAAAAACTCTTCACTGCTTTCAGTAACCTACCTCCTATACATACACCTGCAACATTTGCCACATTTCCACCCTGTCATGCCTTTCCAAATCCATAAATGCCACAAAAACCTATTTACCCTTATCTAAATACTGTTCTCTATGTTTCACTGTAAACACTTGGTCTACGCACCTCCTACCTTTCCTAAAGTCTCCTTGTTCATCTGCTATCCTACTTTCTGTCTTACTCTTAATTGTTTCAATAATAACTCAACCATACACTTTACCAGGTATACTCAACAGACTTATTCCCCTATAATTTTTACACTCTTTTATCCCCTTTGCCTTTATACAAAGGAACTATGCATGCTCTCTGCCAATCTCTAGGTACCTTACCCTCTTCCATACATTTATTAAATAATAGCACCAACCACTCCAAAACTATATTCGTACCTGCTTTTAACATTTCTATCTTTATCCCATCAGTCCCAGCTGCCTTACCCCCCTTTCATTCTACCCACTGCCTCATGTACTTCCCCACTCACAACTGGCTCTTCCTCACTCTTACAAGATGTTATTCCTCCTTGCCCTATATACGATTGTGAAAATGATTATGATTGTGAAAATTGTTATTATGTGAGCAAATCACCTGAACAAGGCTTACAGGGCATTACCTGCAATTAATTTGGGTGAGGTAAGTGGGACTTAAATCACAGCAGGTCGCTGAACTGTAACTCCCTTGATGCCCACTTCACCACTCAAAAAGCTAGACCTGACATTAAAATAATTACATAAACTAAAACCAGCTACTCTGGTAATTAAGTTGTGTGGACTGTTTAGGATTAGTCTTCCTGGGTACACAAAATATAATTGGTATTAACACCATTTAATTACTGGAAGACAATGCTGATGGAACACATCCTAACATTACCCTAGAAGATAGGATTTACGATGGCCAACGCAAAAACTCTTGTACATTATGGGTAAGCGTCACTTAGCTAAGGTGTGTTGTTGTGAAGGATCCATTGAAGTCCTCTTATTTTTCCGTCCTCCACATGCAATTCTTGAGGTCCGCAAATTTCCTGTCCCAATTCTTCAGCAGGGGACATTAACACAGGTTCCTAATTATAAATTCCGGCCGAAAACCCCCAATTTGGCTCTGAAGACGCCGGATTATAAGCAGAAGTTCCCATGACAACTAGTATTCACACATGGCGTCCCCCTCCCCCACGTCACTGCAGCTGTTCTTCCCCCCCTCCCCTTTCATTCGAAATTTCTCGAAAGGGTCCAAATAGCATTACATTTTAATACTCAATTATCCCCCCGAGGGAGGTTCCTTGACGCTGGTGAGGGGCTCTTGATCTAGGGAGTTGGATCTGTGCTCCAGTTCCTTGAATTAAGCCTGAATACCTTCCATATCCCCCTCCACAGGCGCTGTATAATCCTACGGGTTTAGCGCTTCCCCTTAATAATAATAATACGCAATTAACTAAATGTAGAACTGTAACAGTTCTACATTTAGGAAATCGTGTAAAAAATTTCCACAATGATGTAGGGTTCCTGACCACCACCTATTTCCCAAAGCTCTATATAAACCTTACCGGTTTAGCGCTTCATGAAATTAAAAAAATATGTCTGATCCAAGGAAGGGGAAGGTAGATCAATTTTCCGTTTAAAAAGCATTATGTTCAAAATATGAAAAAAGTAATTTTACCATCTTTGTTAAGTATTATATATATATATATATATATATATATATATATATATATATATATATATATATATATAATATATATATATTATATATTATATATATATGCAAAACAACCACTCTGAAAGAATAGAGAAATTCCAAGCGCTTTCGTGACTACTCACATTATCAAGGATAGTTCCTTGATAATGTGAGTAGTCACGAAAGCGCTTGGAATTTCTCTATTCTTTCAGAGTGGTTGTTTTGCATATTCTGAAATCACCTGTTTACTGTGATCTTATTGCATATATATATATATATATATATATATATATATATATATATATATATATATATATATATATATATATATATATATATATATATATATATATTACATTAATAATATGCAGTACCAACAAGTTGATGAATAAGACATATCTTATTCGTAGGTACTCCTTAGTTTTGGCCCCTCAAGGAAGGTTCCTTGATGTTGGTGAGGGGCTCTTGATTTAGGGAATTGGATCTGTGCTCCAGTTCCCCGAATTAAGCCTGAATGCCTTCCACATCCCCCCCAGGCGCTGTATAATCCTCCGGGTTTAGCGCTTCCCCCTTGATTATAATAATAATCCTTAGTTTTGGTAGGGAGGGGAGGGGACAGTAACAACATGCCAAGGTGTCACGTATATTGGTCAGGGTAGTGGTGGTCAATGTATTGAACGTGTGAAGTACGCGGGAGTTGCACCACTTCGCGTTCCTATGCTGCTGCCTTCATCAGTTCTCTAAATTTAATTTATATATTCTTGCAACCACATTATATTGTAGTATATGCGTATACGTTGTATATATGTTTACGTATATAAATATCTTTCATACAGATACTAGGGATATTCATAATCATTTTGGGTAAATATATACAGGTAGCCTCATGCATAATAATGCTATTTCATCGCCAGTAAAGACAATTTTACTACGAAAGTATGCAAAGTTACATTAATTAAGAAAGCATAACATCTAAAAGATAATATTACAACGACAAAACGTATGTGTAGTTGCTTGACGTGCCTTGTTACTGTACGAAAATTACATATTTGAGAAGACCTTGAGAAGAAATGTTACCGTGCACACAACACAATATTAATAACAATTGAGAAGAGAGACAACAGTCTTTAATATTAGCATACCATACAGCGTTGGTTTATACAGTGGGGAGGAGAATATATTGGTGTGTTAGAAGGTGAGTGGCAGTGAGGGTGGGCTGAGGTGGGGCTGCTGCTTCCCTCAGTCACCAGTGCTGACAGGGGAGGCTCGGTTCTCTCTACCACTGCTCAATATATACAACAGTTTCCTTTGAAAACTTAGTTTAGTTTAATTATGGCGTACTACCACCGAGGAGGCAGGTTCGCGGTAGGGGGAAGGGTAAGTACTCCTACCTATTTTCACTGTCCCGTTTTATTTACTAACATTTGTTCAGTAACAACAAGTGCTTGAGAGGTGGATCCTTGTGGCTTAGCGCTTCTTTTTTGATTATAATAATAATAATAATTGAGAGGTGGAAATATAAAGGATGCTTGGTTTATGATGAAAAGGTTGTAAAATAGGCTGATCAGGAGATTAGATTTTGCCACCGAAGTGGCTAGTTTATTGTGCACCCCATATCCATCCTGTGGACGGTAGCGCGAGAGCATGTGGATACACAAAAGGCCTAGGAACTAGGCCCCAAAGGGTTAACAGGAATACATCGATAAGCAGAGACTAGCAGATTGATAGTCTTTACTGAGACTGTTTTTGTTGGAGATCAAGCTTGATCTCGGAAGCTTGAGCTTCAAGCATGATCTTCACTCTTGATCTCCAAGCATTATCTTTAAGCTTGATCTTCAAGCTTGGTCTCAAAGCTTGATCTTCGAGCTTAATCTCCACGCTTGATCTCCAAGCATGATCTTTAAGCTTGATCTTTAAGCTTGATCTCAAAGCTTGATCTTCAAGCTTGATCTTCAAGCATAATCTTCAAGCTTGATCTTCAAGTGAGGCTGTGTCGGTAAAGGTTTATAATATGCTATATTGCCTTATCATATTTAATATAAAATATACACAAAAGTTCACAAGAAACAGGTGATACCTTAATGTGAGATAACCACACTGAAACCAGTACTATTCGAAACACACTCGTGATTTCTCACATTATGAAGGAACAGTTGCCCTAAAAGTCAGTGTAAATGTACTAAGAATTAGATTTTTCGCAGGGAGAGCAAGTAATGTGTGAGTGCACAAGCCAGAATCAATACGACGTGTTAATGATGATAATATAATATCTTTATTTTTACAAGTACATGTACAAGGTATACAGACCATAGCTGACATCAGTGATACTACTATATAGAAAGCCGCTTGTTATGCTGAGCATTTCGGGCAAATTAGGTCAGTTTTGTCCCAGGATGCGACCCACACCAGTCGACTAACACCCAGGTACCCATTTTACTGATGGATGAACATGGACAACCGATGTAAAGAAACAGGTCCAATGTTTCTACCCTCGCCGGGAATAGAACCTGGACCCTCGCTGTGTGAAGCGAGAGCTTTAGCTCCCAGTGCAGCGCTGTATAGCCCTTGTGGCTTAGCGCTTCTTTTTGATTATAATAATAATAATTTAGCTCCCAGGCCACGGGGCACCGCAAGTTTATTTAGGCACAGGTACACAAATACAGTTACGCAAATTATCATACATAGTAACTTATTTCCATTGGACAATTACCATATTTTCCGGCATATAAGATGCTCCTTTTCTTCCCACAAAAAAAGTCTTGGAAAATCACCCTGCGCCTTATATGTTCAAGGTCAGGTTTAAGGATAGGCTTAGGTTTGGGTTTTACTTTAGCATCAAGTAAGAGGGTAATTAACCCCAATGGAAATAAGTCACTCTGACTGACTTTTTTTGGGTTATCCTAGGTTCTCTACACATATGCTACTATGTATGATAATTCTGTGTAACTGTATTTGTGTATGCCTGAATAAACTTATTTACTTACTAATTACTGATATACCATTACGATACTTCTGTCGTGCGCCTTATATGCCAGAAAATACGGTAAGCAGCAGGTGTTTAACTGTCAGCGAAACTTGACATTTGATATTGCAAACAGAACCGTTATACTACATGAACTAGCCAAAATGAATATTGGTGGTAGCTTACTCTGCTGGATAATAGGATACCTGTCAAATAGAGTATCCTCTGTCCTTTACCAAGGCTTCAGAAGTGATTCTAAAGAAATGTCTTTAGGTACACCGCAGGGAGGAGTTCTTAGTCCCATGCTATTTAATATTCTGATTAATGCTCTCCTAAATGCTCTACCTGCCTCACCTAAACATATAGCTATAAGCTGATGATATCATGATCCATACAACAGGGCATAAGAAGATGAATACCATTCTTAATGAAGTTCAAGCAATTTGTAATCGACTAGGCCTCATAATATCTTCCTCTAAAACAAAGATATTAACAAGCAAACGACATCCCCCACCCATCTATTTGCAGGGTGAGCTGTATAGTCCTTGTGGCTTAGCGCTTCTTTTTGATTATAATAATAATATTTGCAGGGTGAAATCATTAGCTACGTTAAAACTTACAGATATCTTGGTGTAGATGTACCCTTTAACAAATCCACTATACCACAACTAAACAAGAAATGTAAAGCTAGGCTAAATGCTCTCAAAGCTGTTGCTGGCTACAATCCCAACTATGGTGCTAATGTGAGAATCGTGAGAATGATGTACATAGCCTATGTTAGGTCCTTAATTGATTATGCTGCTCCCATGTTGATATTAGCTAGAGAAAGTTCACTCCGACCCTTGGAGTTAATGCAAAATGAAGCTCTCAGGACTATTCTTGGCTGTCCCAGATCTACAAAAGTTCTTAACATGAGGAAGGAGCTTGGTATTTCTAGTATCAGTGATAGGATTGTTGAAATTAACACTGTACTCGGTATTAGAATGTTGAGAAACGAACCAGACACTGTCACAGTGAATCTTACCAAGTGTCTAGAGGTAAATACACACAGATCTAAATAGATTGTGAAAACGTGCAATTGCATTAAGTTTTATAACCTGCATGAACTGGATCACTGTAGGCAACAAGAGCATTTCACCCCTCCATGGAAGATGTGTTCATTTAATATCACATACCTACAAGTCCCTCCCAAGAAGCTCATTGCTAGTAATCCCTTCCTTAAATCTCTTGTTAGAGCAACTGCTCAAGAAGAAATTTTTCGCCTAGCTGGTAGTAATAAGTTATCACAAGTTATATACACTGATGGATCTAAACAGGAGTCTTCTGGCAGGGCTGCATCTGCTCTTTTTGCCACCTCCCTAGTTAAGAACGATAATAAATTTGTTGAGTTAGGCATAAGAATTAACAACTGGGCGTCTACACTGCAAACTGAATTGTTTGCAATCCTAATGGCGCTAAAGCTAACCTATGACACTGAGCTTGACTCTATCATCATTACTGATTCTATGTCATCATTGAAGGTTCTTGGCTCATATAATGACTCCAACAACATGCGCATTGGGGAAGCCAGGTATAGATACTCAAAAATTAGGGACAAAGGAATTAATGTACAATTGCTATGGATCCCATCACACATTGGATTACTCCTTCATGATAAAGTTGATATGTTAGCCAAGAAGAGTATCCAGAAGGAGAACGTAGAATATAACTTTGGTATAACTGTGTCTAGCATTAGGAATAATATTAGAAATAAATAATGAAGATGATTGTTATAGGAATGCAGTTAGAAGCCTGAGTAGATCTATAACCCACTATGATAACATGAACGTAGATAAGTATGTTTATGGAGCAACTTGCTATGTGAACAGACAGACTGATGTTGTAGTGGCCAGGCTTAGGCTTGGTTACAAGTACTTCTGGCAGTTTGGGAGACACACAGATGATCAAACTAAATGTAAATTATGTGATCAGGCATATGGTCACTCTCTTGAACACTATGTGCTTAATTGTCCACTTATTGAGGAATACAGAGACAGACAGTATAATAACCTATGTGACATGTCAAGATATCTTATTAATGAAAATAAGATACCAGATATACTAAGCAAATTTCCTAAATTTGCTTGTAACAGATAAGTGAACTATAGATATGTAGATATAAATCCATATGTATTCCTGTTAACCCTTTGGGGCCTAGTTCCTAGGCCTTTTGTGTATCCACATGCTCTCGCGCTACCGTCCACAGGATGGATATGGGGTGCACAATAAACTAGCCACTTCGGTGGCAAAATCTAAAAAAAAAAAAAAAAAAACATAGGGTAAGATTTGCTGGAATTTTTAACACAGGGTATGGAGTGTTAACCACTCAGGATAACCCCGGGTAGAGAGGGTTAGCCATCCAGTATAACCCCGGGTAGAGAGGGTTAGCCACCCAGTATAACCCCGGGTAGAGAGGGTTAGCCACCCAGGATAACCCCGGGTAGAGAGGGTTAGCCACCCAGGATAACCCCGTGTAGAGAGGGTTAGCCACCCAGGATAACCCCGGGTAGAGAGGGTTAGCCACCCAGGATAACCCCGGGTAGAGAAGGTTAGCCACCCAGGATAACCCCGGGTAGAGAGGGTTAGCCACCCAGGATAACCCCGGGTAGAGAGGGTTAGCCACCCAGGATAACCCCGGGTAGAGAGGGTTAGCCACTCAGGATAACCCCGGGTAGAGAGGGTTAGCCACCCAGGATAACCCCGGGTAGAGAGGGTTAGCCACCCAGTATAACCCCGGGTAGAGGGGGTTAGCCACTCAGGATAACCCCGGGTAGAGAGGGTTAGCCACTCAGGATAACCCAAGAAAGTCAGTGCGTCATGAGGACTGTCTTATTTCCATTGTGAACCTTCAATCTTATTCTCCAGGATGCGACCACACCAGGCGACTAACACCCAGGTACCTACTTACTGCTAGGTGAACAGGGACAACAGGTGTGAGGAAATATGCCTATTTCCACCCATGCGGGGATTGCACCACCAGTGTGTGAGGCGAGTGCGTTGCTAACCGAACCATGGGACACTTGTTAAACAAAGGCGTAGAGCGCTTCTCCATGTGATAGCTGTGTCACTGAATGGCTTATATGCTAACCTGCAAGAATTGTTTTCCCAGTCGCGGCAATGATGAAAAAAGGTTGCCCAGCTACCACTCCCACATCATGGTGTGGGACAACCCAGCTACCACTCCCACATCATGGTGTGGGACAACCCAGCTACCACTCCCACATCATGGTGTGGGACAACCCAGCTACCACTCCCACATCATGGTGTGGGACAACCCAGCTACTACTCCCACACCATGGTGTGGGACAACCCAGCTACCACTCCATCATGGTGTGGGACAACCCAGCTACCACTCCCACATGGTGCGAGACAACCTATCTACCACTCCCACATCATGGTGGGGACAAACTAGCTACCACCCCCACATCATGGTGTGGGACAACCAGTTACCACCCCCACATCATAGTGTGGGACACGACCCAGCACATGCAGCTGTTTCAAGAGAATGACAACGTTAAATATAGTCGTGTTTCAGTCATTTCCAATTAAAATAACATCAAAGTAACTGTACAGAGTCACCAGGTGACTTCCATAGCACATAATTGCTCTTGATAATTCGCCGGTGTTGTCCCCGCCCGGGTCTTTTCCAGTGATCCTATAGCACAGTTTTCGAATTATGCGTGTGCAACGTCTGGGTATCTATCTGTAGCCGTTTCGCCATCCAGTGACTATCAATACAAATTCAAGGATTTAATGGGAAGACTGTAGAACTATATGCAGAAAGATGAGGTAATCAGTCCCTCAGCCTTGGAATTGGTGATGAGCACCGTAGTCTTGAAGACTACGGTGTTCTTCACAAACTCCAAGGCTGAGGGACTGATTACCTCGTCTTTCTGCATATAGTTCTACAGTCTTTCCATTATGCCTTTGTGTTGTATTGATAGTCACCGGATGGCGAAACGTCTTCAAATAAAGATACCCAGATGATGCACATATCTAAGCCTTTATCTTGGCGGTATTATATACCATTCATGTAGATTGCACAATTACCTTGGAACACAGAGACCCATGATGTGCCAGTAGGCCTCCAGCAGTGCAACTGCTCAGCATACGCCTAACTACTCAGCCTGGTTGACCTATATTAACTAATTTTTAATTTCGTAGGCGAAACGTTGTACCAATAAAATCTTCACTGCATTAAGTTTTTATTTACCTGTATTTTAATTGCAATCAATACAATGGGTTATCCTAGGTAATTTACGCTATGTATGATAATTGTACCTATGTATTATTGTACCTATATATTATTATTAAGGGGAAGCGCTAAACCCGTAGGATTATACAGCGCCTGTGTGGGATGTGGAAGGCATTCAGGCATAATTCAGGGAACTGGAGCACAGATCCCCTCAAGGAAGGTTTCTTGATGTTGGTGAGGGGCTCTTGATTTAGGGAATTGGATCTGTGCTCCAGTTCCCCAAATTAAGCCTGAATGCCTTCCACATCCCCCCCAGGCGCTGTATAATCCTCCGGGTTTAGCGCTTCCCCCTTGATTGTAATAATAATAATGGAGCACAGATCCAATTCCCTTGATCAAGAGCCCCTCACCAGCGTCAAGGAACCTCCCTTGAGGGGTCATTTATGAGTTTTAAAATAGAAAATATCATTAAAAACTACTTTGTTATAACAGTAATAATGTGAAATTTCTAATGATAATGTAATAGATTATTCACAATATCTGCTATAATGAATTCTCATTTTCACTTAGATGTATTGGTTATATCAGGCACATTTTTGATCTTCAGGAAGGAGTGAGAGGCCGAGGTAGAGGTCGAGCCTCGTCTTCCGCTGATGATATGGGTAAGTTTAAGATTTTTTGTTTCATCATTATAATATTTCCCACCAAAATAAGGTCACCCCCCCCTCAAAAAAAGACATCTTTATTCATTAGGTGTCTTGGTTGATAAATAAAAACACTTGTGCAACATTTGGGAATGTTTATTCTAGAAACGTTTCGCCAGCCAGTGGCTTCTTCAGTCCAGTGGAGGGAGAAAGGGTGGGAGATGAGGAAAAGTTTGAGGTAATCAGTCCCTCAGCCTGGAGTCGATGTGTTCAGTCCATCAGTCTGGATGGACTGAATTTAGGCTATTTACTATAGGTGTAAATTTGTTAATTTACTAGGCTGTGTACTATGGGTACAATTTTTTTTTATTTACTAGGCTGTGTACAGTAGTTACAACATAATTCATTAATTCACTAGACTATGTACAGATTTGTTATCACATTAATTCTTGGTTGATTACGTTTTAATTCACCGGTTTTATCAAATTGGTTTATGTTCAATAATTGAAGAATGCTTTTCCTGATTAGCTTCGAAGTAAGAAGAAATGGTTTTGAATGATTCTTGTGCACTATAAATGCCAATTCCCAATTCTGTTAAAGTTTGGCAATAACAAATACTAGCTTTCATGTGAAAATGTGTGAATGCCTCATCTGATCGACTTGAAACCTATAGCTTGAGAATGTCAGTTCTGAGCAACTGAAAAATTAAGATCCGGGTATATTTTTAGATATTGGTTATGATGCAAGCTGTTGTTACACGATCAATCTTACCAGCAACCATTAAAACTCTGATGACCAAGTCCAAGGAAGTGTTTGTTTCGTGGTTACAGTCAATGAATGTGTACTGTATACTCTAGTGGTTACGGTCAGAGAATGTATGTACTCTCGTGGTTACCGTCAAAGAATGTGTGTACGTTCATGGTTACGGTCAAAGAATGTGTGTACTCTTGGTTAGTCAAAGAATGTGTGTGTTTGTGTGTGTGTGTGTGTGTGTGAGAGAGAGAGAGAGAGAGAGAGATACACCTTAGCTAGAACTGAGAGAAGAGACCAAGGGGTGTGGGTGGGAAAGGAAGCAAGGAGAGCTAGGTTCAGTTGATTGTCAATTAAGATAAGATTTATTGGGAATTTTAACCCGGGGTGGGGAGTGTTAGCCACCAGGATAACCCAAGAAAGTCAGTGCGTCATCAAAGAGTGTATTATTACCATTGTGGTCCTTAAATCTTGTTTCCCAGGATGCCACCCACACCAGTCTTCTAACACCCAGGCACCTACTTACTGCTAGGTGAACAGTGACAGCAGGTGTAAGGAAACATACTCAACATTTCCACCCGTGCCGGGGACTGAACCACGAACTCGTTGTGTGAGGAAAGTGCGTTGCGACCGCGGGGGCGTTGATCCCCGGAATACCCTCCAGGTAAACTCCAGGTTGTCCATAATTACTATTGCATTTGCTTTGTCTGCTTTCATAAGGTGAAGTCTAGGATCTTAGGATCTTAGATCCTAGACTTCACCTTACGAAAGCAGACAGAACAAATGCGACAGTAATTATGGACGAGGTAGATTATAGGGGGAAAACATATTAGAAGACAGGGGAACTGACGTGCCCCTTAATTAAACCTCAGATTCACCAAGACTACGGTACTGAACACTGCACCTAGGCTGATGGACTGATTACCTCTTCAACCTTTTCAGTCTTCTGTGTCGTACTGATAAAGCCACTGGTTGGCCAGACGTCTACATAATAAGATACACAGGTGTTGCACGAGTGTGTAATTCACCATCTAGGATCTGTTTTCTTCATAACATATTTTTTGCACTGCCAGGATTACTCACATTCCTCTTGGGTGCACTAACTGCCATATTTACTGTCCAGAGACAATCAGAGATGAAGAAAAGATAATTATTACTACAATCATAACCAAGCTCTAAGCCCACTAGGATCATACCTGGAGTTTACCTGGAGAGAGTTCCGGGGGTCAACGCCCCCGCGGCCCGGTCTGTGACCAGGCCTCCTAGTGGATCAGAGCCTGATCAACCAGGCTGTTACTGCTGGCTGCACGCAATCCAACGTACGAGCCACAGCCCGGCTGGTCAGGTACAGACTTTAGGTGCTTGTCCAGTGCCTGCTTGAAGACAGCCAGGGGTCTATTGGTAATCCCCCTTATGTATGCTGGGAGGCAGTTGAACAGTTTCTGGCCCCTGACACTTATTGTATTGTCTCTTAACGTGCTAGTGACACCCCTGCTTTTCATTGGGGGGATGTTGCATCGTCTGCCGAGTCTTGCTTTCGTTGTTAGTGATTTTCGTGTGCAAGTTCGGTACTAGTCCCTCTAGGATTTTCCAGGTGTATATAATCATGTATCTCTCCCGCCTGCGTTCCAGGGAGTACAGGTTCAGGAACTTCAAGCGCTCCCAGTAATTGAGGTGTTTGATCACCTGGTGGCCTGGTGGCTAAAGCTCCCGCTTCACACACGGAGGGCCCGGGTTCGATTCCCGGCGAGTGGAAATATTTCGACATGTTTCCTTCCACCTGTTGTCCTGTTCACCTAGCAGCAAATAGGTACCTGGGTGTTAGTCGACTGGTGTGGGTCGCATCCTGGGGGACAAGATTGAGGACCCCAATGGAAATAAGTTAGACAGTCCTGATGACGCACTGACTTTCTTGGGTTATCCTGGGTGGCTAACCCTCCGGGGTTAAAAATCCGAACGAAATCTTATCTTATCTCCGTTATGCGCACCGTGAAGGTTTTCTGTACATTTTCTAGGTCAGCAATTTCACCTGCCTTGAAAGGTGCTGTTAGTGTGCAGCAATATTCCAGCCTAGATAGAACAAGCGACCTGAAGAGTGTGATCATGGACTTGGCATCTAGTTTTGAAGGTTCTCATTATCCATCCTGTCATTTTTCTAGCAGATGCGATTGATACAATGTTATGGTCCTTGAAGGTGAGATCCTCCGACATGATCACTCCCAGGTCTTTGACATTGGTTTTTCGCTCTATTTTGTGGAAGGAATTTGTTTTGTACTCTGATGAAGTTTTAATTTCCTCATGTTTACCATATCGGAGTAATTGAAATTTCTCATCGTTGAACTTCGTATTGTTTTCTGCAGCCCACTGAAAGATTTGGTTGATGTCTGCCTGGAGCCTTGCATGATGATAAGATAAAAAAAATATCACTAGCACAGTCTTGAGTGAAGTATTGGACACGTATGAATGGAGCATTGAGTACAAGGAGGTTGTGTATATTGCATAGGCCTCTCCCATAAGACAATGAAATTGTATCAAATGATTAATATGGCTTGTTCACCTAAAATATGGCACAATTTTTCAACCGTATTAAGGCGAAAGTGTTGCTAGATCTCTTGTTAACTCACGGTCTATTATATATTGATTAAACCAGAAGACTTGGCGGGCGAGTGTACAATAAAACTTTTCTTTAAGGTACCTTTTATTAACAGATTTCGGTAATTTCGGCCAAACGCTCTGGTTATTGACAAAATGGACAAATGGCAGTATTTCCGAATATTGTCTGGAGTGATGTGTCCCGTTGTCTTGTGGAATATCAGACCAAATCAGATGACCCCCGACGTCACATTCAGGACCTGTCTGTTTTATTGTTACCTTGAGCTGTAGGTCACACCCCTTGGCCTGTCGGCCAGGGAGGCAGGCAGTCCCTCCTCTCCTCCTTCACACAACCTGACCTGTACCAGACCTGAATACTGTACCTCAGTTCTCTTTCCAAACAATGTATATAATCTACATCTCTTTACCACTTCTTTGACTTTTTTGGGTTATCCTAGGTTCTCTACACATATGCTGCTATGTATGATAATCTGTGTAACTGGATTTGTGTATACCTGAATAAACTTGCCAATGCCTTCCTTACCTCTCCCTCCCCAACTAACTACCTGCCTGCCTGCCTGCCTTGCTCTGCCTGCCTGCCTGCCTGCCTGCCTTGCTCTGCCTGCCTTGCTCTGCCTACCTGCCTGCCTTGCTCTGCCTGCCTGCCTGCCTTGCTCTGCCTGCCTGCCTGCCTTGCTCTGCCTGCCTGCCTGCCTTGCTCTGCCTGCCTTGCTCTGCCTGCCTGCCTACCTTGCTCTGCCTGCCTTGCTCTACCTTGCTCTGCCTGCCTTGCTCTGCCTACCTTGCTCTGCCTACCTTGCTCTGCCTGCCTTGCTCTGCCTGCCTGCTTGCCTTGCTCTGCCTGCCTTGCTCTGCCTGCCTTGCTCTGCCTGCCTGCCTGCCTGCCTTGCTCTGCCTGCCTGCCTGCCTGCCTTGCTCTGCCTGCCTTGCTCTGCCTGCCTTGCTCTGCCTACCTTGCTCTGTCTGCCTACCTTGCTCTGTCTGCCTACCTTGCTCTGCCTACCTTGCTCTGCCTGCCTTGCTCTGCATACCTTGCTCTGCCTGCCTTGCTCTGCCTGCCTTACTCTGCCTGCCTTGCTCTGCCTGCCTTGCTCTGCCTGCCTGCCTTGCTCTGCCTGCCTGTCTGCCTGCCTGCCTGCCTTGTTCTGCCTGCCTTGCTCTGCCTACCTTGCTCTGCCTGTCTTGCTCTGCCTGCCTGCCTGCTTGCCTTGCTCTGCCTACTTTGCTCTGCCTGCCTTGCTCTGCCTGCCTGCTTGCCTTACTCTGCCTTCCTTGCTCTGCCTGCCTTGCTCTGCCTGCCTTGCTCTGCCTGCCTTGCTCTGTCTGCCTTGCTCTGTCTGCCTTGCTCTGCCTGCCTTGCTCTGCCTGCCTTGCTCTGCCTTGCTCTGCCTGCCTTGCTCTGCCTGCCTTGCTCTGCCTGCCTTGCTCTGTCTGCCTTGCTCTGCCTTGCTCTGCCTGCCTTGCTTGGGCCCGCCTTGCTCTGCCTGCCTTGCTCTGGGCCCTTCCTTGCTCTGCCTTTCCTTGCTCTGCCTTACTCTGCCTGCCTTTCTCTGTCTGCCTTGCTCTGCCTGCCTTGCTCTGCCTGCCTGCCTTGCTCTGCCTGCCTTGCTCTGCCTTGCTCTGCCTGCCTTGCTTTGCCTACCTTGCTCTGCCTG